AAACAGCGTGAAACAAAAAATAACATGGTTGCAACGATATTTGTTGCACATAACCATGTACTGTATCGCCTCAATTTTTTAGAGAAAATAAATCAAGATTAGAAAAGGTTAATAAATTTTAAAAAAAGTTCATCATTTTTGAAGAAAAGTTCACAAACTTGAAAAAGTTTATCAATTTTCAAAAAGTGTTCATCAAATTTGAAAAAATATTCGTAGATTTGAAAAAAGTTCATGGATTTTTTAAATACAAATTTGAAAAAAGTTCATTACTTTGAAGAAAAGTTCATCCAATTTGGAAAAAAGTTCATCAAATTTTAAAAAAAATCATGAAAGTTGGAAAAAGTTCATTGAATTTGAAAAAAGTTCAGCGAATTTTAAAAAAAGTTCATTGATTTGAAGAAAAAGTTCACGAAATATAAAAAAGCATCAAGCCAGGAAGAAGAAAAAGAAAAGATAAAAAACGAAAACGAAAAAAACAATAAACAAAAAACAAAAAACAAAAAAGGAAAAAAGAAAGTAAAATGTAAGATGAAATAAGAAAATTCGTATAAGATGTTAGTTAACAGGTCGGGCGTGGTGGCGCTGTGGTTACTCTCTGTTATCTCGTATAGTGGCTTGCAGCGCCAAATAGGATCGCCACGCTGTAATGCCACATTTTTTTGGAGCTATAAATCGTAGCCTGTCGCTACCTTCATGGGCTGCCACACAGAGCGGCAGCTAGGAGAGCTCCCGACGTCTCGCTTAAGGCAGCCGTCAGACCCAGCGCGGATATTGGCCTGCAACGTTTTTTCTTCCACTATTTTCTTTCACATTTTTGCATTTTTATTTTTCATATTTTTTACTTATGTTTGTACTTCAAAATAGTCTGGATATATCTATTATCAAAATCACTTTATATAAGAAAGTTTAAAATGGTTATCATGCATTTACAAAATGTTAAATGTGTATAGAATTTTTTTGAAAAAAATTACAATGCATATAGAAAATATAGATAGACAGGTACATTAGTTTTTTATTTTATTTGAAAATGTTAATCACGCAATTAATTTTTTTGAATGTGTATAATTTTTTTCTAATTTATAAAAAAATTCTATACAAGAAGTGTACAATGTGTATGTCCATATATATTAATAGGACACATTTTATCTACCATTGGTGGTAGTTACCACCACTTGAGTTTGTATATTGTATGTATTATCAATCAAATCGAAGAGTATGTATGTATAGTAGGCAGTATATAAGAATGTTTAGGTATTATATATGCTACTTTTTCCGTAGCATGTATCACATTTTGTCCTTTTACGTACAAGTATATATGTATTTCACAAATATAATAAAAATCATGGGCCAACATGCAATTTTTTAATGCAATTCAGTTTCAAGTATCTTGTATAGAGTATATCAACATACTTACAATGATAAAATAGTATAGATACTACCACATGATAGTGTATTAAGACATGCGGGGTAACTACCCCTAGGTGATAGGATATATTCTTCACCCCCTCTATTTTACCATCAATGCACCTAATTTTACATTCCGTAAGTTTTGTCTTATTTCCGACATAAAAATATATCATAAGAAAATATATAATCGTTGTAAAAAATATTTCATGTTATGTAAAATTACAAACGTAAAAACATAATGTAAAATATACATAAACTGCAAATTTTCTTGTCTCATGACATATATTTTTATTTTTTGTACCAAATTTTACATAGTGAATCAATAGGAATATAACTATTTGAATTCCAAATGTAATTTAATTACGAAGTGATCGTAAGATTACCTCGGGTGGAAAATAACTTATTCTGCACACCGGGTGGAAAATAACTAATAGTGTGCCAAATTTAAATAAATTAATCATGCTTTTAGAAAATGTTAAATATGTATATATAAAATCTTTCTAATGTATACAAAAAATAACCAATTTTTACAGAAAAAGTAGACATGAATTATTATTTTTAAATGTTAATCATGTTTTCCAAGATGTTAAGCATGTTTATGAAAAATATTCCTACTGTAGAAAAAAATCTACAATGCCTATAGAATAAATAGACGTCAAAAGATATAAGTTGTCAAAATTGGTAATCACATATTTGAAATTTTTAAAATGTATACAAAAAATGTTCCAAATTTACAAATTTGTATGAAAAAGGTAGACATAAAAACATATGTTAGAAAATATTAATCATGTATTTACAAATTTTTCGTGCGGTTTATGAAATTGTATATTACAATAAAATGCTTAGCGTGTTGAAAAAATGTTGACCTTGTATTCAAAAAAGTGTTCATAACATGCATTGTAAGAAAAATGTACATCTTGTACTTGAGAAATGTAAAGTGTGTGTCAAAGAAAATGTTTCACGTATACACCGAAAATGTACACTATGCACTGAAAAATTAGATATGTGTTGAAGAAAAAGGAAAAATGATGAAAAGCGACAAAGAAACATAAAGAAAGCAAAGAAAAACGAGAAAAAAACAGAGGAAACCAAAGTATGACAAAGGAAAAAGATTTAAAATCAGGGAAGAAACAAAAAAATGAAGACGAAAAGAAAGCAAGAAACCGGCAAAAAGCCAGCGCAGAAAAGGAAAGGAAACAAAGGAATCAAAGAAAATGGGAGAAGACTAACGAAAGAAACAAAAAACTAAAGAAAAAAAGAAAAGAAAAAATAAAGAAACACACTCGGTTTAAACCGGTAAAGAAATGAAGAAAACCGATGAAAAATAATATAAGTGAAGGAAAAGTGAAGGACAAAAGTATAAAACCATTGAAGAAATAGAGAAACCCAAAAGAAAAAGAAGAAAAAACAAAGCACGCAAGCGCAACGTTTAGTTAAACGAATGGGCCGCCCGACTACTGTAGCGTGTAGGGAACTGCTTCAGGAGAGACGGTTGATGCTCTCGCTATAAACAAGACTAGTATGTATGCATGTGCAATTCATGGAGTGATTAAAGAAAAAAGAAATTCTCCCGCAATTGTTTTTAATATTATGTAAAAAATTGTATGTAGACATTTTCTTTGCAGGAAAAGTTCCAATTTATTCATCTTCAATCATGACAGTACAACAAACACCAGAAATAAAAATTACATCCAGATCCGTAGACCACCTAGCGACGACTACAATCATGAAGTGAGCCGAAGGCGCATCGCCATCATCGCCCCTCTATCGCTGGAGTCGGGCACAACGTTATAGTAGACAGTCGGGAGGTCGTCGTGCTAAGGCCCCATAGGACCAGCACCCCAGAATAGCAACCACCGCCGATAAAGAATAACGTAGATCGGAAGGATCCAAACCAAAGACACACGAACGTAGATGAACAACGACGAGATCCGAGCAAATCCAGCAAAGATAGATCTGCCAAAGACACACCTCCACACGCCCACCAACGATGCTAGATGCACCGCCGGAATGGGGGCTAGGCGGGGAGATCTTTATTCCATCTTCAGGGAGCCGCCGCCGCCTCGCCTTCCTGAGCAAGACACAGACCCTAACAAGATTGAAAAAAATGACTAAAAACGGAGCTCTCCCCGCCGGCCCTTGCCAGAATCCATCGCGCCTCCATGGCCTTAGGGCCACCGGAGACGAGGCGGACCTGTGCCGGCATCAGCGAGAAGCACAAACCCTAACTTTATTTCTTGGAGGAGAAGGAGGCTGCTGCTGGCATGTAGACATCTAAAATACTTTATGTTAATCTACTTTCTTTTTCTCCCCGTTCTCCTTTGAAATTATCTTATCTGGGTTGAAGTCATCATGCACTCTAGCGGTATATGGCACATGAGGCATCATATATGGGCCTTTTTTTTCCTGAAAGGTCCACACGAATGTTGTAGAACACAGTAGAGGCGACATATGTCTATTATTCATGGCGAATCCGGCTGATTTTAGCCTTTGTTTTTGAAGGCTAACGGTTATGATTGATGCTCTACATCCATTTCGAAACTGATACACTATATAGATAGTATAGATATAGTTCCTAAATTGTGTGGCTTCTAACCATAACACTATAAGTAGGAGTGCGGCGTTTTGCTGCCCAGGCTCATCTGCAATCGGACAGGAAAATTTTCAAAACAAATACTAGAAAAATTCAACAAATTCCAATCTTTTTTTTGTAGTAGATAATTTGATGCATGATGTTCGCTCCAATTTTCAGATCATTTGAACATCTGAGTAACTCTCAGCAAAAAAGACAAATCGGGTCAGAACAGTGCGTGAACAGTAAACTTTTTTACAGACCCCGAATTTGTTTTTTTTGCTAAGAGCTGCTCAGATGTCGAAATGATTTGAAAATTAAAGCGAACCTCACGCATCAAATTATCTACCACACTCGTTTCAAAAAAAATTATCTACCACACACAAAAAATTTGAAATATTTTGATATTTTTTAGTATTTGTTTTATTTTTTTCGTCAGCGTGGGTGCAGATGAGCCTGGACTCAAAAATGAATTATATCCTATAAGTGCTAAATAGGATATGGCATAACTCACTTCAATTTGTTTCCTACCAAAAGTTTTTTTTTTCGACAGGAACTCTGGGAATTGTATTAAAGATTTTTTGGACTTGCCATTCTCTGTAGCAAAAGATATTTTAGTGAATCCTGTCCTCTAAGAAGAAATTGGGTTGGGTTAAAACCTGAGGGGACATGGGCCGATCCCACTCGCATTTCTCGCATGACCCCCTTCGCAGGCCAAGGCCGTATCCCCCCGCTGTCCGGATCATAAAATGGTCTAGAGAAATAGCCCGAAAGCCCACCTCCCTGCAGGTCCAGCGGCACGGCAAAAAAATATTATTTTTGGCTAAAAAAACATTTCTCAAAAAAAAAAAAAATCGATCACGGCACCACGGCCACTACCCCACGTTTCATTTCTCCCCTCTCACATGCCCCTCACCACCAAATCAATCAAACGCGGTCTTCCTCCCTGAGACGCACGCACCGCACCTCACCGCCCCGCGTCGCGAGATCTCAAATCCCCGATCCGACCCCACCGGCGGCGATGGCCGGCAAGGAGCTGAGCGACGAGCAGGTTGCGTCGATGCGGGAGGCCTTCTCCCTCTTCGACACTGACGGCGACGGCCGCATCGCCCCCTCGGAGCTCGGCGTCCTCATGCGCTCCCTGGGTGGGAACCCGACGCAGGCGCAGCTCCGCGACATCACCGCCCAGGAGAAGCTCACGGCGCCCTTCGACTTCAAGCGATTCCTCGAACTCATGCGCGCCCACCTCCGCCCGGAGCCGTTCGACCGCCCGCTCCGCGACGCCTTCCGCGTCCTCGACAAGGACGCGTCGGGCACCGTCTCCGTCGCGGACCTCCGCCACGTCCTCACCTCCATCGGCGAGAAGCTCGAGCCCCATGAGTTCGACGAGTGGATCCGCGAGGTCGACGTCGCCGCGGACGGCACCATCCGCTACGACGACTTCATCCGCCGCATCGTCGCCAAGTAGTGGATTGATCCGTCTCCCAGCCTGCTCAGACTTCTTCGTATTTAATAACTCCTCCTTCGCGTGATTTTATTTCGTATCATCTCATCTGATCTGCTGCGCTTCTGTTTTGTGCTTTGGTTTCGTTGTGGTTCCCCAACCGCCCTAGGGTTTGGATAAAAATGGTGTGATTATGGATTAATGGATCTGTCCGATGGTATTGCAATGTAAAGCATGGATCCTGTTACTTTCTGTGATTGATTGATTGCTTAATCAGAAACCAGTGAAATGCGCCAGTTTATGCATTCATGTTAATACAGCCTATGATTTGTTTTTCTTGTAATTGATGGCATCTTATAATTTCTGATGCTAGCACAGGAGAAATGGATTTATTATGGAGTTGTAGGACCTCTGCCGTTGGCATAATTTGTTTTTGCCGGGAGGGTCATTCTTGTTTTACTTGATCGGTTAATACCATGTGGCTGTTGACAGGCCTCTCTTGAATTTATTGCCACACAACAATAAGGTTGTTGGAATTTAGGCATATTAGAGCTATAAATATACTGTGAAATCGATCACACAATCCAATCTATGGTTCAGTTACCTACAATATTAGGAACTCTGTCTAGTTTTGCTGGGTCATTGATTGATCTTGGTTTTGCTACACTCACATCCCAGTGCTTGCCTTTTTCACAGTAAGTACTTTAGTGTAACCCTATTAGTTCAATACGTTGTCATGCCTGCTTTAAATCTTACTTGGGATGGTAAGGTTCTGGATCAAATTGAGACATATGTAGAGCAGCAGAGCTATAATCTAATAATATCTGCAATATAACATTTCACAAGCCAGTATTTTCAGTTTACCTGCAATATTATGAATTTGTTATGGTTTCACTGGATCAACCTTATTTTGTAATCAGACGGTAATGACGTCACTTCAATAAGCTGAGTTGTTTTAGTAACCAATATATATTTTATGCTTAGAAGAGTTCAGTCTACTCGGAAACTTACCATCTGTTTATACATATTCCTTATTTGTCACTGGAACTTTCTGGACTCCATATTTGCCACCCATTGTATGAGTGGCACGTGCGGTGCTGTAATGTCATTGACACGTGTCGGAATCGTGTAAATTTCCAGTGGCATATAAGGAATTATATTACCAGTTTGGTATATGTTCTCTCGGAGCTTGTCCATGCTCATGAATATTGCCATGATCCATGAACCACCTCGCTAGCTTCTAACCAAAATATTCTGTGCATATGGCTTGATTTGTATAAGTCTGTGTTGTTGATCCGTGGTAATGAGACCTATGTGCATTTATGTTTGGCGTACTACTTCTTATTGAGGCAAACTACCTTCTGTTGTTAGTTTACACCAAGGGCAGCCGCTAATGTTCTTGTAGGTGGCATTAGGTGTAGGCTTCAGTTGTTGAAGGGACCAAAATCCGGCTCTGTTAAATGTATAATATACATCATATGCAATGCATGAATCCTTATGTTGAGAATCTTTCTGCGCAGTTCAGATTTTTGCTATGTTTTATTTAGAAATGAAAATTTATGATTGGTTGTGTTCCCCTGTGTTCAACAAAGTTCAAAGGATGTAAAAGTGACTGTTCATTTATCCAACATGTGATTCTTGCTGCACCAACCACCTCTGTTCTTCATTTGTAAGTTATATTGCTGAATCTCTGGTAGACCTTGTTAAATCACTTGCTGCTCACAGGTCGCAGCTAGCCATACATCTTGGAATAGATAAGCTGCTTGTTTGCCCTAGCTTCTGTTCAAGGCCTCTGATATGTTTGGTATATAGACGATCTGCATTCAGAATATTCGCTGTGGAATCACATCCATTGGCTGTGTTTGCTGTTTAATCGTTCATCGCGCTGCAATTATGAACTATCTGCATGTCTTATCAGCGGCATAATGCGTGTCTCTTGTTTTTCTTCATATTCTATCACATTTCTCTGATAGCAACTTGTGAGAGGACCAGACACAACCCTTCTCTGAACCAGAATGAAGCTATACTTGATTTTCCACGTGCTCTTCTCAGAAAGTTCGGGGTTGTGTTTGATGGAGGATGAGCCGGGCTTGGTGACAACCTAAACCTGTATATCAAATTCCATTTTGTTGTCTGGTTGGTTGTATTTTTCTTTCTGAGTGTATGATGAAGGGTGACATTGTGACGAGACATGTTTTTTGCTGAAATGCTTTGGTGACGTTGGGCACACTCAAGTTTCTAGTTGATATACTGGAAAATCCAGTTGATGTTTTCTATGCTAAGATGGCTATGTTATCAAAAGATGCCAATGCCCCTCACTAGTGTTTCTTGATTGAAACCCACACACCCCCGAGTGAACAGAATGACTGGATCTGCGTGGATGAAAGATTACAATCATCCATACTCCATGCAAACTCTAACAAACTCTTGCACAGATGATGTTCTGGGTTTTCCATGTACTCCCTCTGTAACTAATATAAGAAAGACTTTTTAGATCACAATTTATGACCATTCTAATTCAGTAGGACTAAGAGATAAAAGGACTGATAAGGAAATGAAACGAGTCAGTATTTCTAAACTTGCAACAATATTGTCTTCCCATGCCACAAATAACGGCGCAAAAGATTTGCATATAAAAAAAAGTATAACAACACAATGCTCACACTCACACGCAACAATATACCATGGAAAGTCTGTGCAAATGAGCTTAATGAAGCCTGGAAAGATAACCCATTGTTACGGATTTAGAGCAAATATATGTTTCTTAGAGATTTGTTTTTTTTATAGGGGTCTTAGAAACTTGGTACTAGTTTTTTTAGACAAAGAAGAAGAAACTCCAAGCTAAGGCGTCCAATGGGCCCGGAAACCATCCCAACCGGGCTAACACGTACTGACGGCCTGGCCCAAAGCGACGCAGCCCTAGCACCACACTCCCTGCGCCGCCGCTCATTATAAGTAGCACCCCAAAACCCTAACCCGCACGCCCCAATCGCGCCGCCGCTCGAGCCCCTCTCGCCCTTCGCGCCGCCGCTGCTGCAGGCAACCGCCGCCGCCGTCGCCGGAGCTAAACCCCTCGCCTGACGCCATGGGGCGCATGCACAGCCGCGGGTAACCCCTCGCACCCGGTCTCCCGTATCATCCTTGCTTCGCTTCAGTGGTTTATCTGGTCTAATGGCGGCTTCCCGACTGTTTGGCGCAGGAAGGGTATCTCGTCGTCGGCGCTGCCGTACAAGAGGACTCCCCCGAGCTGGGTCAAGACCGCCGTCGCTGATGTGAGCCCCCCTCGGTTGCTCTCCGACCTTGCCGATTTCTTCCGATTGGAGTGATTCTGATGCTTTTGGTTCTTGCGCAGGTCGACGAGTTGATCACGAAGGCTGCGAAGAAGGGTCAGATGCCCTCGCAGATCGGCGTTCTCCTCCGTGACCAGCACGGTATCCCCCTCGTGAAGAGCGTTACGGGAAGCAAGATCCTCCGCATCCTCAAGGCTCATGGTCAGATCCGTCCCCTGTTAAACACCATTCCCATTTTTCTAGCGTTGTTTATGCTTGTGCAAGTGTGTTGATGTTTGAGAATTTTGTGTGCAGGCCTGGCTCCGGAAATCCCAGAGGATCTGTACTTTTTGATTAAGAAGGCTGTCGCCATTAGGAAGCATCTTGAGAGGAACAGGAAGGACAAAGACTCCAAATTCAGGCTCATTCTTGTTGAGAGCAGGATCCACCGTCTTGCCCGTTACTACAAGCGCACCAAGAAGCTCCCGCCCACCTGGAAGTAGTAAGTTACTCTGCTCCTTTACCTTTTACCTAGCTAGGTTTACTGCAACTGAACGTGAGAACTTGCCAGTGCCAATCGGTTATGTTAGGATTTATTTTGTGTTGCATCAGTTGATTCTGTCCTGCATGTTTACAAATTACTATGTAGAAAGCTTTAGGTTGATCAGCTGGTGCTACTCAAATGCCATTTTATGTGGAAAGCTGCCTGTCATGCTTAACATGTGGATGCTGTGTTCTGAGCTGCTGTATGCATATCTGTATGCTATCTTGGTTTTTATGGGTTTAGTGTTGTAAACGCATGCCACTCAGTAGCTTATTTAATCAAGGATGACATCTGTTTGCTTCAAGTTTAGGTGAAATTGACTAGTGCCCATAGTATGTGTATAGACCTGAAACCATCTGCCTCTTGTTTTCTTGTTCCATACAAGAGTACACAACTTGAAAGGAAGACTTGTTTTATTTTGATAAAATGTATCGTAGGGTTTAAGCTTTACTTGGTTGTGGTAGTAGTTGGTTGGTAACTTTTTTCTGTTATTTCATTATAATGGAGTTTTTGCTGTAGTTTTCAAGCATTCCAACAAATACATCTCATCTTTGGTGTGATACTTCCATACTCTAGATAGTAGCAGAAGTGGAGAATGGGCCTGTTTTAGTTTAACAATCTCTAGCATTGGCTTTGTTGAACTTTAAAACCTGTTTAAGTAATTCATTCATCTGTGCTTGCATTTTTGCTAAGTCGCTTTGTGCTCTTGGTGGGTCGTGTCCCTTTTCATACCTGCAGTTGTTACTAGAGTGTAATCTGACAACTTATCCTTGATTGTCTGCAGCGAGTCTACCACTGCCAGCACTCTGGTGGCTTAGGAGGGCTCTTCATCTGGTGTGCTCTTACCGGCTTCAGGATGGTCTTGTTCTACATATTATCAATTTCATGTAACGCTTTTGAGTTTGGAGCGATTTAGATGAACAAGAGACCAAATTTTCTATGTTTACTTGGAGAATCCCATAAACCATTTTTGGTTTTGCAATTCTGTCTGGTTCTGTTTAGCGTCTATCTACAATTCATCAGTTAAAATTAGACATTGTGATATTCGTGTTGTCTGATCTGAGTGAGTGTAATCGCTGCTTTCAGTGCACTCAAGCTTGGACAGTTTGACTATATGGTTATCCTGAAATCTAAAAAGTGGCTGCGCACTTTTTGGTCGAACCGAGCGGCCGGCTCTCACAGCGCATGCATGTGGTAATTTATTTGTCTGTAACTTCATGTAGGCGTGGCATTAAATACGTTCATACTGCTCCTTTAGTTTAAGAAAGACAGATCCATCTGCATTTATTTCGGGTTTTTAAAAATTCAAAAAGCTATATCTTTCAAACCGCGTGTTGGAATTCAAATCTGTTTTCACCATTGAAATCCTCGCGACGAGATCTTTGAAACTAGATCCCGCATGGGTATATTTTAACGAATTTTTTTCGATGCCAACTTTGGAGCTATATAGTGCAACTCTATTACTGCATTGTGCAACTTTATTACTACATCGTGCAACTTTTTTTCAAAACTAATGTTTGGAGCTGCGCCTTCGTATGAGGTTACAACCTAGCAACCACGACAACTTTGATGTGCGACTAGTCTATTGCCTCGACGAAAGTCGATGTGCAACCTCCTCTTGTAATGTAGTCTAGTCGCACACACATTGATGTCTAGTTGGCTTGTAATGTAGTTTAGTTGCACATACATTGATATTTAGTTGGCTTGTAATGTAGTCTAGTTGCACACACATTGATGTTTAGTTGGCAGAAAGACTAATTGCACACGCATATGCTTAGTTGACTTGTAATTTAGTCTAGTTGCACACACACTGATGTTTAGTTGGCAGGACACTAGTTGCACACACATATGCTCAGTTGGCGTGGCAATCTAGTCTAGTTGCACACACATTGATGTTTAGTTGGCAGGACTTTTTTGGCACACACACATATGCTCAGTTGGCGCGGCAATCTAGCCTAGTTGCACACACATTGATGTTTAGTTGGCAGGAAGACTAGTTCGTCGAAACATCCCCATGCGGGATATAGTTTTGAAGAGCACGTTGCGAGGATTCCAGCGATGAAAACGGATCTTAATTCCGACGCGCGGTTTGGAAGATATAGCTTTTTGAAAATTTGAAAACCGAAACAAATGCATATGTGATCTGTTTTTTTCAACTGATTGTGACCGATGTGAATGTATTAAATGCTAAAAGATACATGCGCTAGCGGACAAAAATTACACACATGCATGTCTATGCAGAGCAGACGCTAGCGGATAAAAGAATTCTATTTTAGGCCGGCCGCTCGCACATGCCAGCGAGCAGCCGACCGCTACGTAGACTCGTCCTATGGTTATTGCACAATCCTCATCTTTTATATCCTTATTGGGACGTAAAAAACTGTCACGATTCACTTCTAAAAGCATGCTGTCAGCGGAACCAACGTATAATGTGTGCTATTTTGAAACAAGCCTAATACAACCATTAATTATATACCAATGTAAAGTGCATCACACCACCGGATTGACAATCATGCGAGGATCGGGAGGGACAGGGAAGTGTCGGTGTAAGAGCAACTCGGGCGACCCATTTCGTTCGTGGGTGTCTATTTGGGTCGGTGCGGATTCATTTTTGACTTGGATTTGCGTCGGCGCGGACAAGAGAAGCGCGCGCGCTTGGCTTCTCCTTTCCCCTCAAAACCCTGCTGCCCGCCATGGATGACGACCTCGCCACCGGCCTTGCCTTCCTCAACTTGTCCGGCATGACGACTGCCCCCTTCGGCAAAAGCAAGCCTCGCGCCTCCCGCAAGACCGCCGTCGCGCCCAAGCCGAAGAAAACGAGTTGGCGAAGAGGAAGGGCGGGAGGAGGCACGCAACGGGCGTGAGGGACAAAGCCATCGCGGCCGTCGCTGTCGCCGCACCGCAGGTCACCAACGCCCGCGTCACAGCGGCAACGAGGGAGGCGCTATATATGCTAGGGTTAAACCCTAGTCAGCATGGCTTGTCAACGCCGCTGTGGCCGCGGCCAGCACCGGCTCATCTGCGTTCCCTCGAATGGTGCTGCCCTGACTCGCCCCGCGCGTCGGCGACGCAGCCGATACCCGGCTTCCATGTTACCCACAGGCCTCCCACCTCTCCGGGGAGTGCTTGCCCAAGGTGAGCGTGGTGGCGCCTTCCATGCCCGTGCCCATCGACCTCAACGCCACACCGGTGGCCGGTGGCTCGTCATCCGGAGGCGCGCGACACATGCCAGCCGATGTGGAGGGCATGGTGAACAAGGACTCAAGGGAGGAGGAGCATCGACGATACAAAGAAGAACAAATGAACGCTTTCATGGTGATCCAAAGGAGGAGGCTTGAGATGGATGCAGAGAAGCAAGCCAAGATGCTTGAGATGGATGCGGAGAAGCAAGCCAAGATGCTAGAGATCGAGGTCGCCAACGCCAAAACCAAGGCGAAAGAAGTGGCTCTCGCGAGCATGATGACTGGGGTGGAGATCATGATGTTGGATCTCAACACCGTGTCGCCAAGGAAGAGGTTGTGGTTCGAGAAGATGCTGGCCGACATGCTCAAGTTCGACGACGAGTGACAAAAGGCGGCGAGCGCCATACTTTTTTTGTATGCCAACAAGTGTGCTGGCATGACCACGGCCGTGATGGCGTGGTCGAACTCCCGCCACTTTTTTGTGTGCTGGCATGTGTGTCGGCCACTGGCAAGTGCGCCAGTCGAACTGTGTGTTATTTTTCTGAAGCTGACATTGTATGCCGGCGCTGGCCATGGTGTTGATATGAACTTTGGGACGACGACATGGTCGCTGGCATGAACTATGGCCGCAGGCCTTTTTTCAAAATTTGCATGCGGACATGAAATGGGTCGACGCATTAGGCGCACTGCCAACCCAAATCTCAAACGGGACGGACACCGAGCGGGCGGCCGATCCAACGGACGAAAAGCGGAAAGAAGCGCCGTCTGTTTGGGTCTTTGGAGTTGCTCTATTTCATATAATCCAGAAGAGGAAGGCCGGTTGAGTACTTTATTGTCAAGATAGGTTTTATCCACTTTATTGAATTTATGTCATTGAAGCAATGGACTTGCTAGCCAGGGTGCCGAGTTGTTAAGACCCCGCTCTTGAATGGATAAAGCAACCGGCGGAGGTGAAGTCTAAGAGCAAGAAAAGAGAGCTTGAAACTTCTTTCCATTACAATCACAACCTGTCACTCTAGTCAGAACGACTCATTCTTGATCACTTTCCCAGTATTCTTGCATGTGTCTTTGAAAAAGGACGAGGTGTTGTTCAGGGTTCCTACCCCATTCAACATTTTGCATTTTGGTTGCTTTCTCTTTTGCAACTCTTTTATAGCAATATTCGTAGGCTAACCCAGACATCCATCACTCCCAGAAAAAAGATTCCAACACCGTCATGACAAAAGGCATCGGTTTTCTCTAATCTAACTTGAATTCAGATCAATAATCAATAGGCACACGAACAAGGCAAGAGCGCGGTTTCGGCTAAAATCAACTCTACGAGGAAGGCAGAACTCAGTGGTGACTGTGGGACAATGATTGTATCAAAATTCAGAGGTGAAACATGCAAATCCTTAATGATGCAATGCTAGCTAAGAAAGTATTGGTACCAATTGAGCATCATGAAAGCTCTTGTGCACGAGTCAAGGGGTTGTTTGGGACTGTTTTGCTCCCTAAAATTCATCTCCGCTCTAAAAAATGCAAGCCAAACGAGATAGCTTCGCGATATGTCGCTCCACAAAAAAAATCTAGGGTTAGGGTTAGAATCTGGGGTACAACCCCTGTTTTCGTGAAGCTCTTAAAGGGGTGCTAAAAAACTCTAGAAGCTAGAGTTGGGGGAAATTACCCACCACTACCATTAGTAAGTGGACACCCCTTTGTTTTTCCCATGACATCCAATCAAGTAGATCATTTTCCACCAAATTTCTCATTTTTGAAACTAGAGCTAGCTGAAAGC